TTGATCTTCGTGGTGGGAGGGGTGGGTGGTGGGGAATGTGAATGTGAGTGCTTTGAATGACGCGCTACGGCAAGCAGGCCGCTGTAAAACTCATGGTTTAAAAAGATTTTTTAGAAGCTCGATTCTTCTTCCTTCGAATGTGAGGAGTTGTATGTTTTTCGCAAATACGTGGAAAGAAACGGCAAGTTCTGAAAACCCTTCCACTTAGTATCGATGAATAAATGTGCAGTTGAACCGACAGATTGTCAAGTGGTGATGTTCATGAAAGTAAAAAATCAATAAGATGAAATGTTACACAAAATAATAAGTTTATCCGGATTACAAAGCTTGTCCATATTTTTGGAAGCAATAAGGACAACAAATTGATGATGCAAACCCTTGCTTTCGCCAAAAGTAATTTAGCCAGGTGTTGTTTGTCTGACAGCATTTTTAGCCCGATCAAAAATGAAAAGTGCAAAACCTTTTCCCGTATTCTTAGAGATGTTTTGCTGTCAACAATGCAGTAAAACAATTGGAGAAAAAAGTGTTCGGTCGATAATACCACTACACTAAACAGTGACACAGTTTCTCACATCTACGGCTTTAATTTTGTGACGTAAATATTGGATTGTAATGGTCAAAAGGGGTTGAATAAAACCGAAATTCCCCATTAAAGATGTTTCATTTTGAGCGACCAACAATATGAGCTTGAAGGAATCCTCATATAAGACCACATATACAATACTGGGCTGTTGTTTCTCAAGTAATTTTATTATACATGCATGAAATATCATACTAAAATAAGTGAACATGCCCTTTTCCTAACATATAGCTTCATAGGAATGAGAAAAAATTGTACACTGCATTTTCAACTATGGCCAATATTTGAAACAATAATAATTAGAGGGTTATATCATAGATTTCTACCATTTGATCTGTGAATAATCGCAAACCAGTCAAGAGCTAGATGTATCAAAAGGAATCAGCGATAAGTGAGTAACTACATCACATCACAACAAAATGACACCTTTTTCAGTCAGTTACACGGTTGCAAGGAATGAAGCCTTTGCGATGCGTTTTTTATTGGAACCACTTAGTTAATATCCATGGACTTGTTTATCCCACTTCTGTCCATCAGCATAAAACTGATATGGCGTAAAAAGGTTTTTCCCCAGATTATGCAAGGCTATGCACATTTATATTTTATCATTGCTCAACATTCTCCTCGTTAAGTGGTACAATATATGCATGAATTCCATGTATCGATCTGTTTAACCAAATTATTTGGATACACGAGAGTAGAGAAACTAAACACTTGGAACCCTCAGACTGGGTTGTGGAGTCGCGAACAGTTGGGATTCGTTCCTATTGTCCAAATGAGCCATACTTCTACGTGCTTTTTCGCGGTGCTAATCGTTCTGAGTTCCCACACGAGTTTCATTTGTGACCAGCAGTGAGATTATACGAGTTTGTTTGTCTTGTTTCATGATGGCTAGTTCTATATCATGCAACTGGTTGATATATGCTAAACAATCCCATATGCAGTTTAATTGCTATGAGGAATATTGCAACAATTGGTTCACTCGTGTAAAACTAAAGTCAACGTTGTTTCAATAACTTAATTCTGCTTTTATTTTACTCTAAAAACAAAGAAAAATTTGAACCAAAGGAAGGTATTTTAGGAAAAATAAGCGATGGTGCTATAGAGTCACGTTCGATCGTGTTACTCGAAAACCCATTAACCTTCAACTGGACAAATAAGAACTTGCTTAGTTTAAGCATTTCTGAGTTCAATAATCCAAAACATCTAAGGATGCAACACAGGTTCTGATACCCGGTGAGATTCAATTAACTATTCGGTGGATACCAGAATTTTTGTTTGTGGAAGTATAGAGTTCTAAACATGACTAAAATAGAGTAAATGAAGAGTGTTTCCTATTTTACTAATAAGCCCACCAAACTAGGCTTCCATTTAAAAATTTCATACACAAACACATTTGGAGAAGAATATGAAGGTAGAAACAATTGTTGATTGGATTTCACAGCTAACTGTAACAAGCTGATGATTTCCGCCTAGGTCATGTTTGCTTGTGGTTTTCCTCTCTTTACAAACAGCACTTTATGTCAATTGTTTATTTAATTAAACGTATACGTTGCTTGGCAACTGGATCCTGAAACAGTCTACAAAATTTAGTACAGAGACACACAGTTACGTTCATATGTAAACATACATTGGTTCACGATATTTCACTTCTTCCCCTAGCAACGATGACCCATTACCGCTCAGTTTTTCAACAGAAACCGAGTAGATTGCCAGGATAGTGTGCATTATTCAGGCTTTACCCGCTTTCGTATACCCGCTTATAATATATTCAACTAGTCTGGTTTATTCCCACCTTAAGGTTTTTTAAATAGGACTAAATATTTGGTGGTGCATCTTTACGAACTTCTTAAAAATCATTTCTACCGAGGCATTGTAAAACTTGATAAAAGGG